GCGCTTGCACATTTTGACGTCAAATGACACTGTCTCCGATCACTTGCATCAGTGTGACTTCCTCGCTAGGATTATCTAATCAGTGAACAGTGCCATGAACGCGTGCGACATTTCAGGGTGGATGGTCGGTGGTCGTCCCGAACATCGGTCAACGACCAAGTGAGTACGTATCAGGAACTGCGACATATTGGGGGGGGGGTGCGAAATTGCATAGTCAGAAACTACGTTATTAGACATACGATTGGTTTGGGTTTCGAAAAAGTGGGAAGATATTGGAAAATGCGACTTCTTAGGGGTGCGACATAGCAGGAGATTGACTGTAAATAGTTTCTACTGCTGATGTTTTTTTCTTTGTTGCTTTTATGTTTTTGTACTGAATATTTTGAATGGTCTCATCAAAAGGAACTTCATCTAGGTGCCAGTGACTTTCACGTGTAAATTTCCCATTGTTCAGGAGTTGGATTCTATTCCTTCCAGGTTGCACTCTTTTCTACATTTATTTCTAACTGCTCATAATTGGTCTTTCAAGCCTTCCTCAGTTGATCGATTGCCGGGTTGTTTGGCGTAATGGGGGCATTTTCACACATCCACCAAGATGATTTCCGTCAAATTTAAAATAATCTCAACAAAGTATTTCCTCGGTCAACACCACGATTCCTCATACCTTATTGCAAGGGCTGAACTGTACATTTTCAACCGTACGTTATTTCGTGGAGATTTTTATCTATTGCATTCGGTAAATGTACCGAACATTTACATGGTGGAGGCAAAACTTGTTCCTCTACCGAATTTCTGTAACTGTCATATCTTCATCAGGATCGCATTATTATTTTGAACAACAACCTGAAATTTATTTTTTCCAATAATATAGTTATAATAACCATGGATAAAGGGGATCCAGTTACAGAACTATGTGAAAAGAAACAGTTACGGAGAACTCAAATGACAAAGAGAAACGTTTCGGACTTTTCGTCGAACAAATTTTTGTCTACATTTCTTTACTTATCTTTTTTTTGCAGCACTAAACGATGTCAAAGGTCTTTAAGGTATGAGCTTGGCACTCCTGTTGCCTTATAAGTATCAGAGTACGCTCGTTTAATGCGGTTTGTTTGTTTTAGTGGCAGGTCTCGCTTGCTACGTCACAGGACTGCCGACCAATTTGTGGTGTTTTGTGCTGAGTACTTTAGCCAAAAAGTAAACCAGACACATCCTTAAAGACCATCTCGGAGCTTACGCGACCATTTATTCAGCTAGTATGAGTCCATCTTATTCGTGATTATTTGCGAAATTGTGGCCGTTTCCGTATCCGCAACCTGGGGAGGCGCTCGTTAGCACACGGCTCCGCACAGCCTCTGGAGCAAATGGGTAACCCGTTTTCACATTGACTGACGCTGTTTTCGAATAATTTTACTGAGCTTTTTTATTTGCAAACGCATTCCAACAAAACTTACACTCGTTCCTATAAAGAATCTACTTGTGCTCATTAATTCGTAAAGTTGCCGTCATCCATAGCGCCAAATGCATTTTTTCCTCGTAATTTATTCATTTTAAGTCAGCTTAATAAGTTAAGATCTTCAAGCGAGAGAAAATGAGTGCTTACGGAAAAATCCATCGTACTATGGAAGCTATGCACATTCAAAACTTTATAAGAGACTTGCAGATTCAGGTATAAATTTTCAAAGCTGATGTTTCATCTTTGCAAAACAGTTTCTTCAAAGCCTTTCATGTTAATGTAATCTGAATGTTGCTGGAACACATTTTCAGATATTGCCAATATGATTCCCTTGCATTTTTGGTAAAGAATATCACTTTTGTCTGAAATCAGGTTCAAGCACAGTTAAGCTCTAAGGATCTTCTCGTTACGAAGGGGACAACCACAAAACACCCGTGCATAAAATGCAACACCACATTTTTGAACAGCTTTCCCTGTTTATACACTTGGATGATTATTTATCCTTGCAACAGGCACCAATCCTCCTGCTGTTGCTTGATTCACGAGGTTCCAAATGTTTCGTGGAGAAACAAATCTATCGCATAACAGTTATTATGATTACATTTCACTATTGAATCCTGACAGTGGTGAATAAGTCCTTTTACATGTCACAAAAGTCCAACCGTTTTCATCGTTAATGGAATGCTGCTGGATTTTCACGTGAACCAAGTGATTTTCGCAAGGAATCACAATTGCAATCGTCGGTAACCCAAAAGCTTATTCAAAAGAGAATAACTGTATAAAAACCTTAGTTCGTTGAAGTTCGGTGTTAGAATAATTAAATTTCACGGCTTTGAGCAGCGTTTCAAAGGACCATGGTTTCAGACAGCCCTATGGTTCAATTAAACGGTTATACATGGAGATGGAGGGATTCTGCGAATGTCTAGAACTCTTTTATGGAGGGATTTCTGGAATCAACGATCTCACTGTATCCCAGATGAGACCACATGCGGTGGTTTGTCAATCAGGCTCCTGACGTTTACTTAACCGGCATTCATCACAGTTTATGGTCCTTTGACGTAACATAATTTTTTAAATTTATGTGTTAGGCTGTTTCCGTGTTGTTCATTATTTTAAATTAGGCTGGGAAATGGTTAAATGAACGTAAATGATTCAGCAAGTATAGGAACTATCTGCATCATCACGATGCTCCTGGTTTATGCGTTAGTCTACTCGACGATAATAATGCCTTGAACAGATTCGTCTGGAGAATTTATCGTATAATCTGAACCGTCAAAATCTACGATTAGTAGATGATGTTTCCCGTCCTTGTGTCAAAGTGCATGGTCCACTCTGGTTTGGTGGCACAAAGTTGATTAGCTAAAGATGCCAAACACTTCAGTTAAATGAATCCGGTTAGAATAACTCTAAAGTATTTAATATAAGGTTAATGGAATACAACATGCCTCACAGATCTTTTGGTAACCTGATGGTTTACTTAACTGCATCAAATCTGTAACTTATTTAAAATTCATTCACATGTTTCCAATAACACTTCGCTTCACCTTTCTGTTAAGACTTTTGCAGTCTCATCTAAACTGCTCTTTTGTCACAGACTATAATTTCTCCCAAGACTTTCATAGTGGATATTTAGTCACTACTTGTCATTTGAGTCGCGCCTAGCAAAATTTTATTCTCCTTATTAACCACAAACTCATTTCTAACTCTTACGCGCTAAAAATAGTTGCATCTCACCGCGAAGTCTCCTCTCTGACGTTACAACCGTAAGTTGCACCTTTATTCCCTCTCACTGCGGTTCTTCCATCTATACTGTCTACAAGACAATGGGATCGAATTTTCTCTTTAAACCAGACATGTTCAAATTTTCCTGTAATTTTGATATAAAATCACTGAAACTTGGAATCGTTGCAATTGTTGAGGAAATAAGCCCGTCTTAGCCATGACGAACGAATACCAAAACATAAGGCGTTGGTGGCAACGTTTCGACCCCCTTGGAAGGCCTTTCTCAAGTCGTTTAATCGGTTAATCTCACGTGACAAGCAGTTATTATAATTGCTTGGTTTTCGTTCATCGTAGCTAAGCCAAGCTAATTTCCTCAATAATGATGAGCACGACGCCAAAGATTTTGAGTAAGATCCATTCCTTCCATGGATCCCGTGTGATTGCAATTGTTATTTTTACGATTTTGGACGTGGAACCTGCATGCAGCAGATTTTATCCACAGTTGGTATTGACACTTGCAATAGAAAACTATTTCATTGCTTTTCAGATTGCACTATTGATTTCACTCCATAATCATGAATTGATAC